CAATTATGGAACATTAGAGGACATTTGGGATTAATTTGGGGCAATTTGGGGTCAATTTGGATCAATTTTGAGACATGAGAGGATATTTTGGGTCAATTTGGGACAATTATGGGTAACCTGGGGCAAGGTGGGGTCATTAGAGGACATTTCAGGTCAATTTGGGACAATTTGGGGAAAAATTTGGTCAATTTGGGGACATTTGGGGAGTAGTTTGGGACATTTTGTGGACATTTGAGGACATTTAAGGTCAATTTTGGGGTAATTTGGGTCAATTTGGACATAAGAGGACATTTTGGGTCAATTTTGGGACAGTTTGGAGACAATTTGGGGACAATTTTGGGGTTATTTGGGACAATTTGGGGACATTAGTGGACATTTGGGGACAATTTGGGATCAATTTGGGGGCAATTTTGGGTTATTTGGGATAATATGAGGACATTAGAGGATATTTGGGGTCAATTTGGGACAATTTTGGGTTGTTTGGGACAATTTGAGGACATTTAGGGACATTTGGGGACAATATGGGACAATTTGTGACAATTTCGGGTCAATTTTGGGTTATTTGGGACAATTTGAGGACATTTGGGGACATTTGGGGACAATATGGGACAATTTGGGATCAATTTTGGGTCAATTTTGGGTAATTTGGGACAATTTGGGGACATTAGAGGACATTTGGGGACAATTTGGGACAATTGGGGATCAATTTGGGGGCAATTTTGTGTAATTTGGGACAATTTGGGGACATTAGAGGACATTTTGGGTCATTTTGGGGTCAATGTGGGGCAATTTGGGGTAATTTGGGACAATTTGGGGACATTAGAGGACATTTGGGGACAATTTGGGGTCAATTTGGGGTCAATTTGGAGGCAATTCTGGGTTATTTGGGACAATTTGAGTACATTTGGGGTCAATTTGGGACAATTTGGGGACATTAGAGGACATTTTGGGTCAATTTAGGGCAATTTGTGACAATTTCAGGTCAATTTTGGGTAAGTTGAACAATTTGGTGACATTAGAGGACATTTGTGGACAATTTAAGAAAATTTGGGATCAATTCTGGGTAATTTGGGACAATTTGAGGACATTAGAGGACATTTAGGGTCAATTTAGGGCAATTTTGGGTTATTTCGGGCAATTTGGGGACATTAGAGGACGTTTGGGGTCAATTTGGGACAATTTGGGGGCAATTTGGGGTAATTTGGGACAATTTGGGGACATTAGAGGTCACTTTGGGTCAATTTGGAGTCAATGTGGGGGCAATTTGGGGTTATTTGGGACAATTTGAGGACATTAGGGGACATTTGGGATGAATCTGGGGGCAATTTGGGGTAATTTGGGATAATATGAGGACATTAGAGGACATTTGGGGTCAATTTTGGGCAATTTGGGGTAATTTAGGACAATTTGGGGACAATAGAGGACATTAGAGGACACTCTAAGACAATTTCGGGTCAATTTTGGGTTAGTTGGGACAATTTGGGATCAATTTGGGGTCAATTTTGGGTAATTTGTGACAATTCGGGGACATAGAGGACATTTTGGGTCATAGAGGACAATTTGGGTCATAGAGGACAATTTGGGGACATTTGGGGACATTAGAGGACATTTGGGTCAATTTGGGACAATTTGGGATCAATTTAGGGGCAATTTGGGGTAATTTGGGACAATTTGGGGACATTAGAGGACATTTGGGGTCAATTTGGGGGCAATTTTGGGTTATTTGGGGCAATTTGGGGACATTAGAGGACAATTTGGAGACAATTTGGGGCAATTTTGGGTTATTTGGGACAATTTGAGGACATTA